GAAGCTTCATTCATTTCAAATCAGACCTAAAAAATTCAAAAGAATGTGAGGTATACTTTCCAAAATATCCGATTTTAAACAATGTGCATTTATGGGAGTCGCCGCAGCTAAATATAACGTCATTTGACGGATACGCACCGTCATACTTTAAGCATTTCCCCTTGTTTCATTAAAAAAATTATATGTGATTCGAACACACTTTCACCAATTCCACTTTCTTTAAGAATTCTTGGTACCATTATACACTCACTCTTTTCATAATTAAGCCCTGTCAAAATTTTTTAAACAGTAGCATAAGGCAAATTAAAAAATCACATGTCAGACACTCTATACGTTTGTCTTTCTTTGACAACGTCAGGCACCATTGAACGTTTCCGTCCGATCTCCTATGTTTCGGACTTCTTGTCGTTTGCTAATCATTCAGTAACCAATACCCCCCTCCCCCTCCAAAAAAAAAATAATAAATTGCTGAAGCCATCTATTAAGATGTCTCTTATTTACATTCTTTATTCTGTAAGTCTGATTAATTAATGTAACTGTCACTTGTGATTTCCCATATTTTGAAGCAAAAAATGCATTACAACTCGTCGAGCCGTTTTTTCCTCATTTCTTCAATCCCTTTCACAAGACGAAAGACCACCTTTAAGCAATTGCTTAATGGTGACTTAATGGTGCTTAAAGAAGTTAACTCCATTAAGCCACCATTAAGCCACCATTAAGCTGCAACTTACAGACCTGTGCTTAATGTCCAAACTTCATTAAGCTACTACCATAAAGCCACCTTTAAGCCGAGCTTAATGGTGACTTAATGGTCAAACCTCATTAAATTTCTACGTTTTACGCATTTTATATCGAATCTTTGATCTAACATTTAAAGTTATTTCAATGTCATTACCGCAAAATCTATTTTTTGTGATTTATAATTTTGTCTAGATCGTAATCTTTAAATACCATTTCTGTCAACATGCAAAATTTCGGGCACTGAGAATAAAGTTAGCTTACAGGGGCTTGCTCCCGGTTTCTTATATTTTATTTTAATCATTTAAAGTATCAATAAAAAAGATATTTTATCTTATTACCGCATATGATTTTTTTTCAAATTAAATAACACGCTGGGGCCAACCCCCTGTGAAATATCTTAATTTCTCACTACCGAAAATCAATCTGTTCTTAAAATTATCTTTATTTATAAACACCAAATATAATTATATTACTTTGAAAAAAAAAGATGGTATTTTGATCTCATGTGTTCAAAACAACATAATTTGCTACATAATTCCCAGGAATATAAAGTCATGTTCTCATTAGAAAAAAAAAATCTGTCTTTTTTTTGGAAGAAGGGGAGGGGGGCGGGTTGGGGCCACAGGTATAAAAAAAATGTTTAGTTTTTCAAAGTTTGACTAAAAAACGTTTTGTTTTCAAAGTTTGACTTATACATCATGAATAATTTGAATTAATTCGTTATTGCTTTTTATAATGCAGCGGTAAGTATCTGTCAAAATCTAGTCTATGGAACGCCTGTACTGTCTTATATGTGGATTAAACATTATATGCAGTGTTTCCTTCATTATATGCGGTACTATTTCAATTATATGAAGTAGTTTTTACATTATATCGTGTACAACTTCCATGATATGCAGTACTTCTTTCATTATACGATGTAGATATGTCATTATATTATGTACATCTATCATTATATGAAGTGCTTTTAACATTATATGCGGTAGTTCTAACATTATATGCAGTAAACACAACAATATATTATGTGCTTCTCACATTATATACAGTATATTCATCATTATGTATAGTATTTCTGTTATTACGATGATGCTGATCGTTAAATATTATGTCCGGTCCAGTTAGCATTCCGTGCGGTAGATTGCATTTCGTTATGATGTAGACACAGTATTATATGCGGTGCTTTCTTTGTTATGATGATGATCTTTCGGAAGCTACCCTTCGGAACTGTGTTAAAAATTCGGTTCTTCTTTCAATCAACTGTTGAATATTCAGTACAATAAATAAAATGCGCGTATTATTTATGTCTCTGATAAAAGCAGTTAATAATTAATACTCCATGAACTTATTAAATTGTTTTTAAAAGATAAGAAGTAAGGTAATAGAGGAAAATAAAATTCCATCTATTTTATGGTATGCAGTACATGTAAAAAAGAGAGAGCTAGGAGGGGGCTGGGGGATAGAGGTTGGCAGATTATGTTACCCAAGAGATGATAGATATATTGAAGATGAACATCATTTTTTATTTGTGTACGCCCTCTTTATAAACAACTTATCATGCACGGATCTAGAGTGGGGTCAGGACCCCCCCCCCCGGAATTTGCAGAAATATCAAATTTATATACTAAAGCAAGAAAAAAGTAACCCTGGACCCCCTCGGAAAACGCTGACTCCCTTCTGGTAACCACGGATTTGTGTTAAATTGGTTTGAAAAGTCAGAGGTTTGAAACACTAGATTCCACCCCCCCCCCCCCCCCCCACACACACACACAAGAAATATATTTTTAAAGTTTGGGGTATTTTTTATTATTGGTTTTTTTTTTTTTGCTCGTTAAGAAACTTCTGGTTTGGATTTTATTTTTTTGGACTGGGGTGCCCCCCCCCCCTTGAAAAAAAATATTCTGGATCCCCGTCTGAACTAAGAAGTCAGTTTTGTACACTTTATAATAATACATGTATAAATTATGAAATTCTTTTTTAAAATTCAGCAGATGTTAAATATATACAAGAATTATTTGTAACTTCATACGTGATGCATTTGTATTGATATAAGAAAATCCATGTGACTGTATTATTAAGGTCTTCCGTCTTCAGCGGAAGACCTTACTGTTATTCTTAGGTTTCTTTTCCACTATTTTTATTATTGTTTTTTTTTTCTTACCGATTTTGTGCGCGCGAGTTCTCGAGAAGGGCTCCATCGATTTTCATGAAACTTTCAGGTCTGATAGAACATCAAAAAATCTAGAAATATAATTTTTTATTTTGATGACGTCACTTCCGGTTCGGAATTTTCTGCGATTTAGTGATTTATAGAGGGTCACTTTGTCCGGCAGTTTTCTCAAAAAGCACTTAACACAGAAGCGTGAAATTCTCAGTGATGCTAGAGCAACCTATGGAGAAGTGCCCTTTGTATATCACAACAACCGGAAGTACGAAGCGCCGGCGCTCGCTATGGCCGGAAAATAGTCCCATAATGAATTTCAAAATTTCTAACACCTTTTCTACAATAACTTTTTACCTGGAAATATTTTGTTTAAACATATAGAACAAAAAAAGTGTAGAATTGCATGACCTTTCAAATGATATCTAGGAAAAAGGGCTGGCCCCTAAAATAAAGGATCCATAGGGGCCAAAACGTTTTATCTGATATCTCAAAAAGTGTTGACAATTTGTTAAGCATCATAGAAGGAAAGTTGTTCAAAATAATAAACAGCAGAGGCAGAGATCAGTTAAAGTCATTAAAATGGCGTCACTTCCGGTCAGACCGGAAATATTTGTAAATGGCTTGTTTTTTGCACACATGACCGTAAATGTCTATCAATCTCGATATCATCGTCTTCAGAATTAGACGGAAGACTTATTTGTTGCTTTGCAACAAGCTCGTCTAGTTATATTTATACTTGCGCTACAGTGGTTTTTGTCAAACTGAATGAATAAAAAATATATAATGATATAGAGATAAATATTATGTGGCACATAAATTATTATTCCGCTTAAGCGTGGTTGATTCCCAATTATTATTGATAACCAAAAATCATGAAGAATGTTCTTATTTAAGAACGAAAAGAGTAAAACTAAATCTGAATATAACAAGGGATATCCGAAGGGTAGCTTCCGAAAGATCATCATCATAACAAAAAAAGCACCGCATATAATACTGTATCTACATCATAACGAAATGCAATCTACCGCACGGAATGCTAACTGGACCGGACATAATATTTAACGATCAGCATCATCGTAAGTAGTATAAGCAGCCTAGCCGGGGGGTTCAACTGAGTGCACTTTTGGGGCTGGGGGGGGGGGTAGGGGGTTCAACTGAGTGCAGCCCCTGGGGGATAGGGGGTTCAACTGAGTGCACTTTTAGCCCCTGGGGGATAGGTGGGTCAAGGGAGTGCAGATTAGGGGGGTCTGTGGGGGGATAGCCGGGTCAATTCATTACATAGCCGCCTAAATACGGGGTGTTTACACTGTGTTTACATTATACTATACGCTGCTACTACGATTTTGGCAGCGACTCAAGAATTTGATTATGACGTCACGCTTCACAGTCTAGACAGTCTAGCCTAACCGGTTCAAACTGGATTTCCTCAAAACAATAACAAATAACAAAAGACAGATGATAACACAGCAATTTTATTCAGAATGAAAATACAAACATACACTGTCTTCTTAATTTTTTCCCTCTCCTTTTTCTTTAGATTGTTTTCCTTCAGGCAATAAAGGGATGCGATAATATACATACACTTTATAAATAGACCTATAGGAACCCCAATAGTTTGTTTTCTCCTTTAGACAGTATTTTTCCTCTCTGGTATCATAATCTTCAGGATCCAATTCCACTCTTTTTACCAACCAAAATTTTTTGTACTTTAAATTCGGTGGGCATTTCAAATAATTTCTGTTGCCTTCATAAAAATTCTGGATGGCTTCTTCTTTAGTTTTCATCCATTCTCCTAAAGTTTCTCCATTAATACACCAACAATACACCGTTTCCTCTGTCATATTTTTTGTCTGCTCCATTTTTTACCTGTGTCTATTTCCAAGTACTAACGAAGACTGATCGTCGATGTCCAGCTCTGGTTTATATACCTGCTGTGGGCCGTGTGCACATTTTACCTGCGTTTTTATACCTGTTGCATCACCTGTAAGGACCGTGTGCAAAAAATTAGGGCCGTGTGCATCAATACATTTTACCTGCGTTTTTATACCTGTTGCATCATCTGTAAGGATCGTGTGCAAAAAATTAGGGTCTTGTGCAAAAATAGGTTGGACTTACCTTTTGATCGTACTGTGTACGATTTTGTACAAAGTCTAGTCAGCGAGCTACCTATGAATTATGACTTCATACACTTGTAAAATTAAAGTTTTATTTTCACTTTTGTTTTTAAGAAGTCAACTGAGATTTTCAGAAAATGTAGGACTATCTTTTGTTTTTCCTCTCCTTTTCTATGATGATTTTCCTGCTGTCAAGCTTTTCTTGTATAAAGCTCAATTTCTCTATGACCACTGAAGTAAACATCCTGATGCATTCTTGCCATGTGAATGTTGAGACCGCGTTCATTTTTGAAATCTCCTTTCTGACAGACATATTCCACAGGTAAATTTTTGTTTACATTTCCTATGAAGGTCATCTTTGCATTTAATCATAATAATGTAAAGATCTGTTTTGAATGTAAATGCTGTATTTATCCTCATTTCATGTGTTTTACAGTTGTAAAACCTGCATGTAACTCATAGTACATTTAATATTTCTATGATGGGTAATTCTATGATTGAATTTAAATCAAAAAATGTTCACTAAATTTTGGTAAAATACATGGTATCTTTTACATTTCTGTCCCTTTTTTTCTGTAAATTATTGCTTTACTTACATTGTAAATGAGGTTAATTGTGTATCACTGAATTGTACGATTTTTATCAGGATCAACTGAGATGTTATTTCACTGGATTATTTAATGGATTGGCTTATTAGGCATATGTTTGGATATCTCTGGTAAGTTTGTCTTGTTTTAATTGTTTACATTTCCTATTAAGATCATCTTTGCATTTAAGCATGATTATATGGTTAATTTAATTACTGTGTAATACTTATGTGATCTATTGTCTCTAACTTACATTCATATATATAAGCACACCCTTATTTAACTTAAAATACATTAACACATGATTAAGGGATCTTCAGAATATTAATAAGTCCTTTTGTATAAATGATGATATAATTTCATAATTCATTTTGTATGTTCCCATGGAATTCAGACATACTAAATGGTGATCAAAGAGATATTAATTAGGAATCTAATAAGAGAAAAGGAGGAATTTACAGAAGATTAATCCTAAGTCATTTACATTTGTTTTGATTCTAAATATGTGTGATATATGGCATACATATAATTTCATTTTCACTTTTGTTTCTTGGTAATGAGCTTTTCAAAAATTTAAGGACTACATGTTGTACTGTGATGATGCTAAAAAAATGTATTTTTCTGTGTGCAGTACTGACAGGTATTAAACAAAATTGAATATGCTGTTAAGAGAAAGTCTGTTAGTGTCTAAATAATTAATTTGATAATCATTTTATTTGTGATATCAATACAGTAATTGTGCTTTTTTTATTATCTATAGATAACATGATGAACTTTTCTCATCTGGAGTTATTGTTAAAAACAGTTTTTTCGAGATTAAAAACAAATATATTCATGAACTTTTTTTTTGGCATTGTACATGTTTGTTCAGGTTTTAAACATGTATTATTTCACACAGTACTCTGTCATATTAACAAAATGGTTTTATTTCTACAGTCATCAACATGGAAGATGTTTTGTTCCTAACCATCTATAATCAATTCTCTATGAAGTTCAGACTGTTTGCTCTTCCTTTGGAAATACACAGTTAGTCAACCAACATAGAAACACACAAACTTGAAGGTAAAGTTTCACTGAGATACAATTGTAATTTAAATTTATTTATTTATATTTTTGAATTGATAAGTAAATGATATATTTAAATAAAAAGGGCTTGGTGGTCATGGTCATGTTTAAACCATATTGATCTCCTTTAGAAGAAGAAGAAAAGGCATAAAAATTCATGATCAAATTTTAAAACTAAAATGTATGAAATTTTTCTTTGCCAAATGATACTTAACAGCTGAAGATAGCATATCTATAGAATAAGTTAAATATGGCTAATTTGTTAACCCCCAACTTCCTTAATAGCATAGTTAGTAAAGATAGGAAGTTTTGACTTCAATTGCTGATGAATTCTGAATTTTCCATTTAATATTAACATTATATCAAAGGGATAGAATACTATAATGTGGCTCATTAGAATGACCAGAAAAGAAATCTTGATGACCCTCTTGACTATGTATAAAGATTGTAACCTTATAGCTGATGTAAGATAATCTGACTGTGTGGAAATAAAATTCCCTGGTGTTTCTACTACCCAAGATCTTCTTCTGAGTGTATGGGACTGCTGTAAACCTTCTCCTTTTTATAAAAATAATACCTTGGACTGAATTTTCCATTTGATATTAACATTATATCAAAGGGAAAGAATACTATAAGGTGGCTCATTAGGATGACCAGAAAAGAAATCTTAATGACCCTCTTGACTATGTATAAAGATTGTAACCTTATAACCGATGCAAGATGATCTGACTGTGTGGAAATAAAATTTCCTGGTGTTTCTACTACCCAAGATCTTCCAAAATCTTAGATCTGTCTGTATAGTTTCTTCAGCTCTTTGAACACAAATACCCTGATTCAATCTTTTGAGATAAACATCATAGAGACATCATAGATGATTGTCAGAGTGTTTATATCACAATCTTGATCATAAGGTCAATTTAAATGGTCAAAGGCACAACAAATGAAAGTGAAAACTTTTTTTTTAAAATCAGAATACATAATTTTGTAATAAACAAACACTGGAAAGTTACTCTCATAATGAGCCTTAATGTCTTCCAAGAGTTCAGTTTGGACTTCCTCCATTAATCCTTGTATCTCCAATGGTTTTGTGGGCTAAAAATCATGTGTCTTTAACAATTCTTTTTTTCTGACAACTGTTTTCTCTTATCATCTATAAACTTGACTTCTTCTCTAGTCAAAGGTCTTTCAGGGTAATCCAAGTAATTCTTACCTTCTTTTGGTAATAAATGGTTATATTCTTCATTGGCTTCCTCTGCAATCAAGGGTCTTTCTATATAATCTCTGACAACATTAGGATCATCCTTTTCTGGACATAACTGGTTATATTATTCTTGAGAAATGATCTCAATAGTGCCATCTTTTTTTATTTTAACTGGTATACCTCTGTCTACATCTTTCTCTGAAAGAATTCTCTCTCCATACTGAATTTTACTCATTCCTTTACTCTTTTCTTTACTAGAGGTGTTACCCATGGTTAATATGGAAAGTCAAAATCTTATGTTACAACTTGTATTTATACCCTTTTTGTCTATATTTAGAATTTCATCAAGCTTATATTACATTACATTTTTTTTTTTAACTAAGACTTTTTTTTTTATTTTTCAGGATTCTCTAATGAGGGCTTATGGAAATGATCTATGTTTACTCTCAGAATGGTGAAAGACTATCAGATTATGCAAAGACTAACAGAATATCCTCTCTTGGAACACTGAAACAAGAAAATCAAACTTAAAAAGATGGAGGATTTAAGAAGAACATGAATATGATTTCCAACTAATTTAACCAGTACGATCATAGACTGTGGTTTACAGGATGACAAAGAAAGAAGTCAGGATTGTATCTTTCACTGTCAGACACTGACTAAAGTGGACTGGATAAAGTGTAATCATTTATCAAACTGAGATCTAGTCAAATCAAGTATTGAAAATATGATTTTCTGATAGCATGAGCTCTTTAAAAACTAATTCTTACGGACCTCAAAGTATCTGAATGTGACTTTTATTTTGACCAATTCATATTGAAGACTGTTGTTATGTATGGTAATTACACATTTAAACCTTTTATTTTTCATCTAATTTTTACAACCCCCTAGAAATTACACAGATATCCAGATGCTGAATTTAATGTTATTATTTAACTTTCCTGGAATTGTAAATATATTTTGTTTGTGTATGTATTATGTTTATTTTTGAATTTGAAATTGGTCTCAGTAAGACCCCCAATAAAGATGCAAGTGTCCCATAATCTGTGGTTTAATAATATCTTGAATATCTTTATCATACCATATTCATCATACTCATTACATATAGAATGGTTGTAGGAATACACTTTGTTGTTTAGGACACTTTGTCAAGGTCAAAGCATAAGATTGAGATGACTTCTTTGACAATAATTTGTAACTTACAAACTTCACATCATAAGTACACAGATGAAGAATCAATAAGATATTTCTATAGATATTTTTTGGATCATTTACTCCTGGGTAAAAGTTAATTACTGAGATTACTGATTTGAATCCTGTAATCCCTGTAATGCAATAACTTCAACATTGTGTGATAACTTATAGACTTTATGAAAATTAGGTGCAAATTCTTAGGAAAGGATTGAAATGTTAATCAAATGAACAATGTTCAAGGGTGTATATATGACTATTACTATGTAATACCTAGGGTTTCTGTAAAACTCCTATATTCACTACATAGATAAAGACCGGTATAATATATATTTTAAACTATGATGAAGGGGAAAATAGGTCAAAAACTCTCCCCTTCATATCTTTCATATTCTGTCATACACAACAATAGATAAATTGCAGTCATTTAACAAACTGAGTTCTAATCAAATCCTAGAATTGATATTGTGATTTTCTGATAGTATGAGATCTTCAAAAAATAATTCCCAGACTTCAAAGTATCTAAATGTGATTTTTATTTTTACCAATTCATGTTGAAGACAGTTGTTATGTATGAGAAGTATACATTTAAACCTTTTATTTTTCATCTTACTTCTACAACCCCTAACAATTTACACAGATGTTTAAAAGCTAGCTTTGGTGCAATTATTACTTTCCTGGAACTGTAAATACATTTTGTTTGTGTTTGTGTGTGTGTGTCCTATTTTGAATTTAATAGGTCTCAATAGGACCCCCATAAAGATGTAAGTGTCCCCTGATCTGTGATGTAATAATATCTTGAATATTTCAATCAACCATTAGACTTCATGCTTACTACACAGAACAGGTTAGAGTAATACACTTAGTTTTATAGGACACTTTGTCAGGGTCAAAGCATGGGATTATTGAGATAACTACCTTTGACAATAATTTGTAACCTACAAACTTCACATCATAAGTAAAGAATGAATCGGAGATTTTCTATAGATCTTTTGTCCTGGGTAAAATTCAGTTGTTGTAACTTTAACATTTTGTGACAACCTAGAGACTTTATATCAGCTCTATTGCGTGGCATAGCATATTCTTTGGAAAGAATTGAAATGTATATCATATGCACTATGTTCAAGTATGTTTAAAGATTATTACTATGTAATACCTTAGAATTCTGTAAAAAATTTATTATCACTGCGTAGATAAAGACTGGTTGGAATAATTTATGTTATTATACTTTCATGTTAAATACTAAAATCTGATTGGTTTAGACGCAGTTAACAATCCGTTCGATTACCCTGAGCTTTAGCAACACACGTGACAACGGGAAACACAACGGTAATGCCACATGCGTGGAAATTATGCGCGTACGGTTCACCGTAGAATTCTCAAAACGTCAGGTGCGCGTTTGAAAGAACCGGAATTAACTTGACGTCAGTAAAAGCTTGCGTCCGATATAGCTTACTTGAAAACAACAAACGACAGACGATATATGCTTGCGAGTGTAGGAAACATGCTTGCGAGCCAGAAATAACGAAACTTTATATGATAAATGACTCTAATTCGAGTATTAAACAAACAATAAGGAGATTAGTGAACCGGTGAGTGTGAAAGCTTTCTATACTTGAACGTAAAGACGATCGACGGTTTTTTTTTTTTTTTTTTTTGCTGACGTCCGAAATCAATTCAGTATAATAAAATAAATGGTGCCTGTTTTGGAAGGTAACATTTGAAATTGACACTCCGCTGAAGCGTCGGTTGACAATGGTTTTCCTTGGGGTGTCAATTTCAAATGTTACCTTCCAAAACAGGCACCATTTATATATTTTGAAATAAGGTTTAGGGAAAAAAGTTATGAATGTGGATATGACTTTTATTCAAATGGTGCAGTACAGCAACTCTGGTGATTTACATACCTTCAGTCATAAATAGATAGGTAATGGGAAGACTCCTCTAGATTTTTAAATTTTTAATTCAAAAGTATAGAATTTGTTTTTAAGTTTGAAAGATTAAATGGCAGCATATCATTTGCTTGTGAATTAAAAAATAAATCCAAACATATACATCTTTGGATGATAATTGTAGAATTTATCAATTCCTGGACTTCGGTCTTGATATCATCCTTTAATGTCCTTAAAATTTTAATGACTGTCTTTTAGTTTTAGTTGAATTTTAGTTGAGTTTCTTTTCTACATGTGAAAATGACATCATCCAAAGAAGTTTTTCATCTGCATGTTATATGAAGATAATTTTCATCACAGTGAATTACGAAAGAGATTGTTTTGTTAAACATAAACATGCACAAATATATTTTTAAATTTCTAATAGCTAGGGTTCATATTTCTTAATTTGGAATGCTAAGTACTGTTGATTTCAATTTTTTCTGAAAAAAAAACAACATAATAGTAGAAAAAAAATATACATGGTGTGTTAGAAAAGCATGTGTAAACCTGATGACTTTATAATTGCTGATTAAATCAATTATGAGTTTCATCTTTGTTACAGTGTAAACATTTCTAAGTAGGGCACACATCAGAAACTCTTAAAATTCTGACTATCAGGGTTTAACACAACAATTCCAAATGATTTTTGGACGCTTTTTATGTATAAAAAAAAAAGACAAAACAGAATGTTTCTTAACAGATGTTCCAATGGAAAACAACCACAAAGAAATGATTTGATATGTTCTTTATGTGATTCATGTAAAATGTATTTTAAAATTGTACCCTAACATTTATCTTTTGCATAAATACATTTTTTGTTGAGAATTTCTCATAACTTTGAAAAAAGTAGTCTTATGTATAATATGGTTAACTTAAAATTTTGTAGACTTAAAAGTTGTACATTATGTGTTACACATCTTACATATGTAACCATTTCATTTCAGGGCATTCAATTCAGCATATATTGTGGTTTTGTCTTAAATTTGTTTGTTCATGTAATCAATAATTTGAGAATACTCAAGTTAGGTAATGCATGAGAGAATAGGCAAAAAAATCAGGTTTAAGAAATGGTTTTTACTATTGATAAGGGGTCAATCTATATATTGAATCTATAAGTACATTTAGTCTATACATTTAAGGTATTTGTGTATTAAATAAACTTGCATTTGAGCATTTTAAGACAATTGTAAACATTACTTTAACCAGTTTTAAAAAATGATTAGATTCACTGTCAGCATGTTATTTCTTGTAAAATAAATGAGAAAACAATTTTATTTGAGTCAGTTACTTAATGTAAATAAGAAGCATTGGAATTTGGGAATATTTCACAAAGTTGATTGAGCATAATTCTCACTAGGACAGTAGGAGACGTATTATGATTTAAGCATTAAAGAAACCATTTCATATTTCAATATACAAACCATGTTTAGTCATGCAGTATATAGTTTACACTTGCCAAAAAGTAAATGGTATCTCTATTCAGGGTCAATTCAAGGGTCAAAAAGGAATGAAAAAAAATTTCTCTTTATGTATCAAACATAGGTATTATTTTAATAAATTCACTGTATTCATTTTTTGTCCTCTTTCTATGTATGAATAGCTCTCATTTAGGCAATCAAAATACAAAAAGCAAATGAGTTATGTCAAATGATGAAGATATACACCAGAAATTTTGAGTTTCCCTCAAATATGGCCGCCAAGTGATGTGAAATAAAAACAAAATGTGGATTCATCTATTAGGATTGAGACTTGTACATATTATGAATGATGGACACTATGACATTTAGAATGACATTACAATGATTCAATTATATGAACAGTTCTTAATCCATACAGTTTTAAATGGAGGAAAAAAATTTCTTTATTAGGCATAAAGTAACAAACACTCACCTAATCCATCAAAATTTTACTTTTTGAAGAAAAGGAACCCTACTTACTTTGTTGAGTTGACATTCATATTTTTGTGTTTGACAGGTAGAGCAATGGTTTCTGACTAGTATAGTGAGAACTTTTTATTTAAGAGTCATCAGATTGTTCTGATATTTTGGTTAAGATATCTGCATGACATCAATTAATTTGTTCATACAAAGGGATGAAAGCTTTTCCAGGTTTCCTCTTTACTCAGATTAGATTGTGTCTTGCTAATATATCCAACATATAAGTTACTCATCAAAGTCAAACAAAGGTAAATAAATGACCTTATTAAGTTTTTAGTCAAAAGGTCAAAGAGATGTGGACATCTGCTAAATTTAATTGTTTAGTTAATATTCATCAAACTTCATGGATAGGTTAATTAAACAAACTTCATATATTTTGATTTTCAGGTTAAAGATCAGCACAATTTTTGCTATACCATTGTTTTCCATGAATATCTTAACACCTCTATTGACTTTTCAGGTTAAAGGTCAACGTATTCCTGCTACAGTAAAACTTCATTATAAGTATCTTAAGTGATATTCTTTATTTGTAAGGAATTAGGTATAAAATCTCAGACTCTTTCTATAACATGTCACTGAATGTGCTCCTTCATTTTAGAGAGTTTTACAAGCAAATCATATACTGACTTTCAATCCTTCAAAACACAATATGTATATTAAATCTTGAGATTCAGACTTTCAGACTTTCAGACTTTTAGGCTTTCAGACTCTCAGGCTTTCAATCTTTAAAAACTTTCAATCTTGAGGACTGAGTATTTTAATATTTATTTTGTAAGTCTTGTCTTTTATGTCATTACGATTGATCTTTAGTTATTCAAACTTTTCATATTTGTAAAACCAAAGTGTTGAAATACAGTGTTTGTGTAATCTTCTTAATGATTATCTAAAATTACTGGTTTTAATACAGTCAAATATAATTTGTGATGATCAAAATTTCCAAATTGCCTGACATATACATATTTAAAGTTTCAATATCATACACTCTTGAATATCCATAAAAATCAATATATCGATTAAGCATTTGCTATCAACCATACACTTGTTAACCTAAGGAAGGCTCTTATCATAAGTTAAACGCATGAAATTCCTCATGCAATTTTGAAGAATTTCTGTTATAAAGGATGCTAAAGACAAAAGACCCATAAATTTCCAAGAAGTAATAATTTTTAAAACTATATATCCACACTAAATTGGGGAACATTTGAAGAACCCCTTTTC